GTGAAAATCTCTCAAAAAAAAAAAAATCACACTGAGTTGATGTGCGTGTGTGCCCAAAATTCCAAGAGGAGAATGGAGGAGAAGGGATTGTATCTTGGCTATCTCTCTTAGGGGATGCATTCTCACTTTCTCTGTCCTTCTCCACCAAGCACACACACCATATGGCAAAAACAGAGTGGCAAAATCAAATGGGCAAATAAAAAAATCCAAAACCAAATTTTAATACATTTCTCTCCATAATTCATAGAACAAGTAGGAAAAAAAGGAGTAGAGATTATCTGAACAATACTGTTTTCTAATTTGAGCTTCATAAAACACATAGCCAACATATATACAGTGAATTTTGTCTTCAAATGCACATGGATCACTCACCAAAATAGACAGTATGCTCAGGTCTCAGAAATTCCAAAGGAATAAAATAAGAATATGTTCTCTGAGGATAATGGAATTTAGAAACAACATTATCTAGAAAAATGACCAACTATTTGGAAATTAAGCAACAAAATTCTGAATAACCATAGGCCAAAGATGAATCACAAGGGAATTTAGAGAATAGTGTGTACTGATGATGATGGAAACTTATTAATATTTATGGATGCAGCTAGAACAATACTTGGGAGGAAAACCTATAGCTTCACCATGTTTTATTATGTAATTTATTGTCAGAGAGTATGTGCAGTCAGAGAGAGAGAAAAAGAGGAAGAAAGCACTCCTGCACCCATGCAGTGTGGTCATACAGTAATCCCTTTTCTCCATCCTGTCTGGATTTGAGGCACACATACACACATATGTGCTGGGTGTGTTTTCAAACCACTGGGTCTGGGATTTGAGCCAAGTTTGCCATGTGGGATCATTCTTCTTTAAATGTAAGGCTATAGGACTGGATCATAGTATAGTTTATATACTTTATAAGCATATACTAGGAAAGAAGAAAGGTTAAAATCAATGATATAAATTTCCATCACAAGCAACGAAAAGAAAATTATACCCTAAGAAAGACAAGCAAATAAAGGCTAACAAAATGCAAAACAAATAATAGACAAATGAACAGAATAAAAACTGGGTTCTTTGAAAAGATTAATAATATTGATTAACTTTTAGCAATATCAAAAAGAGGACCCAAATTGTCAGTATTAGAAATGAAAAACAGACATTGTTACAGATTCTACAGGCATTAAAAATATGAGGTTCATATGAAAAATGTCAGGCCACTACATTTGAAAATTTAGAGGACATGTAAAATTTTTGTAAAACACAACTTGTCAAAACTGACAAGGAATAGAAATCCAAAGAGTCAAATTTGTAGCTAAGTGCAGTGGTGTGTGACTGTAATCCTGGCTTCTCAAGATACCAGCCTGGACAACACAGGGAGACACTCTAGATAAATAAAAAGTAATTAAAACCTTGACACAGAGCAACTCCAGTTCTTATGGCTCCATTGGTAAATCCTCCCATACATTTGAGGAAGAAATAACACCAGTCTTACAGAAGATAAATAATGAGATGTTTAGACATTTACCAACTTGTTTTATGAACCTAGCATAACCGATACCACAACTTTAAAAGCATGTATCAGAGCCTGTCTTGTGGCCTGGTGGTTAAGGGGCCAACTGCCTTTTGAATC